GGGGGGGGGGGGGGGTGAGTGTTTTCTGCAAAACAAAACATGCTAATCAAAAGTATAAACGTTGTTACTCTTCCTTGTAGGAAGACATGCCGTATTTTAGGTTGAGGACTGCGAAGGAGATCTTGAGGTTGAAAGCAGATTAAACAATCTTGAGCATGCTCCTGTTTTGTCATGTGTTATATCCTGTTTCAACAAAGGGATGATTATGTAGTTCAATAGTTGGTATGATCGACGTGAGGCTAAGTATTCCTTAAAGATCTTTACTGTGATTAGTCAAAGTGTTATTTAATTCTTTAGCTAGTTATTATCCGGGAAAGGCTTGATTCTGAAAGTGCTTCTTTAGGTTAATTTTATAAATTCAGTCTTTTTAGTCCCCATAGAGCATTTTAGATGAAATTTAGAGTTGTAAACATTTGCTTCTTTATATTATTATTTCAATGAAATGAAATCAAAGATTTTACTTTTTGTGTAACTAATGTCTAATACCCCTCCTATTCCTCATATTCATGTATGGCACATGCAGAGCAGCGGCGGAAGTAGGATTACCGCCAAGGGGTTCAAAAAAGAAAAAAGTTAGAAAGGTTGTAGCTAGTGGGAATAGAACAAATGACCTTACAAAGGTTTTGAATCCCCTTGACCACTAACCTATGCTTTTGGGCTGTGTCAAAGGGATTCAAAACATAATATATAGAGGTAAAAAACAGATTTTGCCTTTTATATACAGTATAATTTTCCGGCACCCTTCCGCCCCCCTAAATCCGGCTCTGATGCAGAGGTATAGTGTGTTTGGATTGAGCTATCATATTTTCCCCCATAGCCAAAATCTTATCATCAAAGATCAGTAAAGTTTATTCTGTAGCTAGTTAGTTACTCCATCTCTTTTGTGTAGAAAGTTGGGTAGTAAAACAACAACCACCACCCAGTATAATCCCACAAGTGGGGTCTGGGGAGGCTAGGATGTATGCAGCCTTACCCCTATCCTGGAAGGGCAGGGAGACGGTTTCCGATAGACCCTCGGCTAAAGAAGGTGAAGGAAGCCCTGATATCAACTAATAGAGAAGTTGGGTAGTGGGAAGTAATTTTTAACTCCTGTTGTTGCTTAAGTGTATAACTAAGGTAAGTTGTGCCGATGAAATATTGTCTTGAATGATCATATCATTGAGTTGATTTTGTAAGTCTATACAAGGAGGGCTTGATTTTATAAGTTTGGCATGGTTTAATTCAGGAGATAACAGCATCAAGAATCTTGAGAATCAGATAAAATTTGATGGTGTGATCTGAGTTTAGTCCATACATTGAAAGTCTTGTTTCCCCAAATTCTATAGAGGAAGTTTGAAGTAAACTGCAGATCACTGGAGTGAAAGGAATGAAATTTGGGCTATGGTTGTCAAGATCTTGTGCATAATGATGTGTAAAAATTGTATGGGGTAGCCACTATTTAAAGTGGTATTTACTTTTTATCCAGCATTTTTAATGCTAAGCAAAAGTAGCCACTAGTTTTTTAAAATTAATATGAAAGGACGTTGTTACCCTTTCCTTCCCAAACGGAAATACAGTGGTATCACAGTAGAGCTATCTGAAATTTCTCTTTGCTGCAGAATGATACCCAATAGAGCTATCTGATTTTGTGTTTTAAAACCTTTCATTCTATGTCCAGCAATAGTTATCGAAACTCTTTGTGAGTTCTAACTTCTACAGACTGTAGTGAAGAGTTGTGAGTTACATACACGTTCCATCAATTTTATAGATATTTTTATAAAAATGAATATTTCGTAAATTTATCCCATGATTTTTGTTCCAGAACTTTTTTCCCCGTATATTGCATACATAGGTTGTCTCTCTTGCAACTCCATCACTTTCTTAAGTTTCTCTCTATTGAAACGGCAAGAATAAATTCAGCATAGACCATCCTGAACTTAGGCTAAGAAGCCCAAAAGTTAAGGATAATAGGTCCTGATCTTAGGCTAAAAAGCCCAAAAGTTAAGGACAATAGGTCCTGAACTTAGACTAACAAGCTCAAAAGTTAAGGACAATAGGTCCTGAACTTAGGCTAAAAAGCCCAAAAGTTAAGGACAATAGGTTCTAAACTTAGACTTACAAGTTCAAAAGTTAACAAGTAGTCATTAACTTAGAGTTACAAGCATAGAACTTAAGGATAGGTGGTCCTGAACTTCGAGTTTCAAGTTCAAAAGTTAAGGACATGTAGTCCTGAAGTCTTGAACTTAGAGTTGCAAGTTCAAAAGTTACATGTAATCCTGAAGTCCTGAACTTAAAGTTTCAAGTTCAAAAGTTAGGACACTTGGTCCTGAACTTGATGAGTAGAAGGGTGTTTTCGTCTGGGCAGGTAAAATTTGTTAAAGCAGTGGCTAAAGACTAAAGACATTTTAAACAGTGATTTAAAAGTAAATACATGTGTTATTAGTGGCTAACCATGCACTTCCCCTAATAGTGTTCTAACAAAATGGTATGGGTAAATGATTCCGGAGGTTTAGCAAAAAGAACAAAATTGTGCCATGAAATTCTTGCTTTGGTCGAATGTCTTTTAGGTTTTTTTTTTTGTTTTTTTCGGGTTGCAGCTTCTGCATCAATAAAATTGGGATTGCTGCTTGTTTTAGATTGTTATGGTGGAAAGTAAACAAAAGGCTTAATGAGGTTAAGAATTTACTACTGCAACAACAACCCAGTAAAATCCCATAAGTGAGGTCTGGGGAAGACAGTATATGCGATGAATAGTTTTACTGTGAGTTTCGACAATCTTTTTCATAAAAACAGCATTAAAACATGTGCATTACTCTTTTTAAGATCATGGAATAGAAGAAAAAATGATGAAGTCGCCTGAAAATATCCTTAGGGGACTCCAGTAAGCATAGTTTTAACTTTTAAACAAGTAAAGCTATGATTCAAGATCAAACAGTTTTAAGCATATTGGTTTTGGTTTTATTTAAGTCTACATAACATTCAGAATGAGCTTCCAATGGTCAGGATACTTTGCACTAGTTGCAAAAATATGTACATATGCTTTCACAAAATAGGCTATTAGCTCTATATATAAACCACAACTCCTTTATTCACAATGAAAATATCAAATCAATTTCGTTGCTGCAAAACAACAGACCTAATGTAATCCCACAAGTGAGGTCTGAGAATAGAGTGTATGCGGATCTTATCCCTACCTTGTGAGGATAGAGGAGCGGTTTTCAATAGACCCTCGACTCAACGAAAAATAAAAAAGAAGCAATAGCAATAGCAGCAAGCAGTAAACAACAGAACGATAATATAATCTTTAAAGTTTTTTCAGATGTAATCAAACAACTAATACCGTAGGAAATACATTCCCGGTCCCTATAAATTGGACCGATCAATGTTTAGAAGTCTGTATATTTATGATCATTATGAATTTACAAGTTCTGAGATGCCCTTCTTGCTTCGTCTGAGTACTCATATCTAGAGGAGCACGGAGAATACGAGAGTAAACATTAACATCTGTAGTTTCAGTAGGTTCAAGCTCATGAGATGATAACGCTGTTTTCTTTCTTCTATTTAGTAAAAAATCTGCACAATGATTCTTCACCTGATTCAACATTTGTTTACAACAATTTAATGGAAGAGTAAGCTATCTTGCAAGGATTAAGGGAAGGGTAAATACAAGTATTGATGTCACATATGTTGTAAAGATTCATGCCTAACGCGGTACCCTCTTTCTGCTAAGTATTTCCTGCTCTTTCAATCGATGCTGGAACCTTGCAAGGCGAGCCTGAAGGCTGACCAGACTTGCTGCTTTGCGTGATAGCACAAAGCTTAGCTGTGTCACATAATTGTCAATGCGACTTCCAGGTTGATCAACTTCTGCCAACAGTTTCATTTCCTGATAGCGAAAAAATTAATTAATTATCACGAGTATATGGCTAATGCAATCTCATTTTTGTTTGGCCTAAACTTGTCCTTCTCATTGCTCTGTTAATAGGAACTCAGAGGACATAATAACAAATTGACAACATGCAGCTATCATCACCAAAAGAAAATGGACAAAATATTGGAACTAAGACGTGTTCTTTTAAATAAATAAACTCTGTGTGTGTGCACGCATGAGAGAGAGAGGTGACAAGTAATGAAATGGTAGTCGCAGCAATACTAACATATTAGAATTATCCTACTATCCACCACATACAGGTAGTGAAATTGTAGATAACTAAGAAAATGGGAGACAACAGACAAAAGAAAAAGAAAAAGAAAACAATGGTGAATCCCATTACAAGCAAGCATGAACTCCATAGCCACAAATGATCAGTCAAAGAGTCGTGTAGGTTCTCAGACAAAAGCATCCTACTGTTAGGTGAGGAAGCAGTACGTCCAAGGAAAACATTAAAGAAAATTCAAAAATTAAGAAACACTCAAGAGAAAACAATTTACAGCTGCATTTTGGCAATGGCAATGCATAACACAGAAATGCAGAACCCTCACTGGGAACACACTTATAATATTTCTGCATTTTGCAGGGAGGTAAAATATTAATTAACAGAATACAAATCAACATAGGATTAACTTACTTCACTAACAATCTCCATTGTATCTACAATTTCTTTCCTATGGGCAGCTATTAGGGCCTCTTCTTCCTGTGCATAGAAAGAGGAAAATTACACCGATATCATTGGAGAAGTTTATAACAGTTATTCAAGAAAAAATAATTAACAAAATGAAAAGCAAAAGGCGAATAAAAGACTAACCTCTAGTATTTCATTGATATTTTCATCATGAGGGGGTGAAGAAGCTTCATTTTGTCTTGATCCATTACTTTTTGTGGGGGTACTCGTAGGTTGTTGTCTATAACTTGTAGAAGATGAATCAGCACTTGAAAAATCTTTTCTTGACCAATTTCCTGGCCGTTCTAGCTTTTCAGGTTTCTCATCCCTATATATTTTCCTCCGAGGTGGCGACACTTTCGGCACCTTGTCTTCTACATCAGAACTTTGCAAGTTGGTTGAAGAATACAGTTTTTGACCAGCTGAAATACCATAGGCATTCTTCACCTCAAACCTGTCCCTCTCCATACCACCAGAATTTGCCCCACTTTCCTCCCAACCAGTGACGGTAAGATTTGAACCAACACTAGAGGGTTGTTTATCAAAACCTGTCCTTCTGCTTGCTTCTGATAGTATAGACTCTTGAGGTTGCTCATAAGCATCTCTTGCTCCAGCAGAAACAGCCGAAGTTGGCACTGAGTACATTTCCTTGAATGTAGGGGGTAAAATTGCACTCTGATCTTTCTTTGTGTTACCACTTTTGGATAGACTTTTGACCCTGTTAATCTCATGTTAGTATAATCCCATGCTTAGTAAAACAACAACAACAACAACAACAACAACAACAACCCAGTGTAATCCCACAAGTGGGGTCTGGGGAGGGTAATATGTACGCAGACCTTACCTCTACCCGAGGGGCAGAGAGGCTGTTTCCAGGAGACCCTCGGCTCAA